CAATAGGTCCACCTACGAGGCTTGTAAAGAACGCCTTCACCTAGCGCCCGAAGTACCCGGCGTGTGACAAGGCTCGTTCGAATATGCTTCGATCAAGGCTGAGCAGTGGGGTCATGCTAGCCCTGATATCTGCAACCACAGTCTGGTTATGCTTCGATCAGGGCTGACCAGTGGGGTCCTGCTAGCCCTGATATCTACAACCACCGTTTGGTCAAGTCATCCCCGTCAAGAGAAGATCGGACATGTTAGTCCTGAGTGGTAGATACTGATGTAGGATTGTGGAAGTAGGGGTGCGCCGGAAACTAAGGAAGGGTTGGGAAGAGAGTCTCATAGGATTACAGGGGCCATCATAGAACACTGGACGATCCCATGGCTGAGTGTTGAGGCTAAAGGTCATAGGTCCATAACCCAACCTCTACAACAACCTGGGCTTTCTTTAAAAGTAAAAAAAAAAGGATTGGGGGAGTGCGGGTGCACCGTGAAGATTGAAGGGAGGAGGGGGGGTGGGGCCAAAGAAAGAAACAAACAAGAAATAACGGCGGACGCTGCATGTTTTAAGACCCTAAAGGCAAAAAAAACTTGCGCTGGCAAAGGAACCACGCCCCAACTCAAAATGAGCGATTTCGGCCCAAAAGTATCCGCTGGGCTTTTTTTCCACCCCCTCTGACACCAAGGCCGACCCTGTAAATATGACACCCAGTCTGACACCATGGACGTCAGTATTTCCGTCACCTTTTCGAACTTGATGTGTTTTCTTTGCCGACGCCTGTTTTTTTTGCCCATTCGATACTCAAAAGTGACACGAACGTACTTACCTCAACGAACCTGGGTAGCACCGCATATGCGTACACGGTGCATACACGAACGTATGCTCGCGTACGCGTACGTTTTTTTTAATATATTATAGATATATACATATATTATTTAGTAATATTAGTACATATATAACAACGTATTGGAGTAATATTAATACAGTATACGATTGTCTGCATGGTATACGGTACGTATTCGGGGGCTTTGGGCCTATGGGCGCCCCCGAGGATCATACACCCATGAAAGCACACACACAGTGTCACACACAAACACACACACACACATTTTCTGTCAGTCGGTCTGGTTGTCAGACAGATTGTCTGAAATCTGGCTGGTCGTTCAACAGTCAGACAGACATTGCAACAGAGTGGGTGACCTCTTCCGCGGTCGTCCTCTTTATCCTCCACCTCCCCATGTCCATCTCCGCAGTCCTCTTCCCCATCGTCCTCTTCCTCCTCCTCCACCATCTTCTTCCTCCTACTACTCCCCGTCCTCTTAATTTTCATCCGTCGTATCAATTTTTTTTTCTTTTTTTTCTTCTTCTGTAGATCATCTAGAGTACATGATAAGGGGGAGGAAGAGGAAGATGAAGAGGAGGAGGAAGACGAAGAGGAGAGAGACGAGGAAGATGGCGATGAGGAGGAGGAGGAAGATGAAGAGGAGAAAGACGAGGAAGCTGGCGATGGGGAGGAGCGAGATGTCGGGTTACAGGACGAGGAGGAGGATGAGGAAGAAGGCGCTGGGACGAAGACGATGCTAGGAACTTCAAGGAAGAGGGCGAAGATGTCGGCTTACAGGACGAGGAGGAGCATGGCGACAATGACAGGGGGGAGGTGGAGAAAGTAGACTTACCAGCGATGGCGACTCTTGGCGACGGCGGCAGCTGGATGACGAGGGCACCGCAGCAGCAGGCCTCCATGAAGATGGCGTCGGTGGCAGCTCGATGGCGAAGGCGTGGGAGCGGCAGGCCACATCAGCATTATTTGACCGGCTTGGCGATGGCGACGAGCAACAAGCCGGAAGAGAACAACTACAGTGGCGTGGAGGGGTGATGAGGGGCGGGGGGTATACTTTCCAGACACAAATTCAAAAATTGTCCCAGAACGATCTCCCCCCTGCCCAGCGTCACCCCTCCGACCTGCGCTGGGCCCCAACGGGCTACCCCAGTCCACCCCTAGACGTCGGCGCCAAAACTTTTTTGACCCCCACACAGACATACACGCGCGGCGTGGAGATGTATTTATTTCAATGATTGAGCGATTCTCGGGGGATCTCTCACACGCACACACACACCGGCACACGCGCACACACACACACACACACATGCGCACGTGCACACACACACACGCACACACACACACACACACACACACACACGTACACACACACACACACACACGTTCGCACACTGTAATAAGAAAACAATCAAGGAATGAAAAAAAAAAAATAAAAAAAAAAAAAATCCCATTCCTTGATTTTTTCCTTATTACACTGGAAAATCTCAAATTGAGAAAATCTCAAATTGAGATTTCAGGGTCACTCAGAGGAATTCTGGGATGACACATACACACACCTGATACCACTGTTGGAAACCAGCCCCAGCCTCCGAACAACACTAGATCATGGTCTACCGGAGGGAGTGAGTTGGCAGCAAATGTGCCACCGATTACTGCCAATAGTGGCAATGAGACTCGACCCCCTGCCAGCTCAAGGCCAAGGAAGCTCCAGCAACCCTTCCACTCGAGGAGGACAAAATGGAAAAAAAAAAGTTTCCCCCTTACTAAAATTTCGCAAGAAGACTCAAGTCATAAAGGGGATAGTAGAACAGTACCACCAGCAGTCACAAACCCCGGTACAAAGGAAAAGGGAGAGTACACAGGAAAATGCATGGACAGTGAGAGGTCGGTGGTCATCAAAGGACTAGGAGCAGTGAACAAAGGAATATTTTTTTTTTAAAAAATATTAATCCCTAACAATCATGTAGTAAGACAAGCAAAAGAATACTGCAGCAACGCCACCACAGTGCATACAGCTGAATCGAGCTCCTGCCCACCAGCTCTGGAAACTACTTTACAACTCCCTCAGTCGTCAACGCAGAATGCAAAAGCAGATTTGAAGGAACGCACAATGCAGCCCCTGGGGCAGAAGGACACAGAGACAGACAAAAGACAAAGCTTGGACAGAAAGGAGGGAGAGGAGGGTGAAGGATCACTAGGGGGGGGAAAGGAGGAAGAAAACTTTCATTGGATGGGGGCTTTAGGGGATGAGGGCAGTGGACCAGACAGGGAGCAAGGGATGAGGATACTAACGGGTCAGCAAGGGGATAAAGGCAAGGAAAAGAAAAAAGGTGAGGGAGAGAAAAAAGGGTCCATGGGGGAAGTTCCTGAGAAGATTGGAAATCCAGTGGGAGAAAAAGACTGGGAGGAGGAATCGCAAGGGGAAGGATCAGGGGATGGCTACCTGCAGAGAGAAAAAAGGTTGGGGGAGGAAATGCAAGGGGAAGAGACAGGGGATAGYRAACTGTCGAGGGAGTTGGAAGATAARTCATCTAAAAAGGTGRAAAAATCCACAAWCACCTACAKCATCCAAGGGGAAGAGTCAGGGGATTGTGAACTGCTGCTGGAGTGGRAAGATAAAYCACCTAAAAGGGGRRAAGAGTCCAYAACCACCTTCAGCATMAAAAAAGTGGTATCTGAATTAACAGGGGAAAACAAATTTCTGTTGCTGCCTCAGTCACAAGAAAACCTAACGGAGGAACARCAAGAGAAAGTGAAACACGGGGAACCAAAGGAAGAAAACCTCCAAMYAAWRAAATCCCAATCCATCATACTGCAGAAACACCTCGCTCTYCCCCCTATTCCACCACCGGATRACATGATAGTCAGCAAAAGACAGAAACTGCACTCTTTACTTTCGAAAGRCTTTGCAGAATTGTCACTCTCCAAACCGGGTATCTTGATTCTGCCTATTAGACAAAGTGAAGGGGAGTTGGAGGTCGGTCTTTCTGAACCAGCTGGATCAGCACATAGAGAAGTAA